GAGAAACATGTCCGCCAAAACCCAAGCAGATGAACAGCAAAAAATTTTTTCCAGGAATCTTTAACCATTTGAGGTGGATAGTCTACATAATGCAGCTTTTTGATGTTTAAGGAACTGCATTTATTCACTTTCTGTACAGCTTAATGACTTAAATTGGTCTCGTTTTGAAAATGAATGCAAAGCTACAGCCAGCTAAGACACAGCTAAGCTGTGCTAACCAGCTAGACAGTCATGATTAAAAACTGACATCAGGATGTAATGAAATCATCTCGTGACACCACAGACTAGCCAATCAGTGGCATGCAGTCTTTTGACATCACATTTTCTGAGCCGAGTAGGTACTAGTGAAAAAAGACTAATACGGTCCTACCACAGCACTGGAAGACATCTGTGCACACTGTGGAGATAGGAGGCCACAGGAGGGAAAGGAGGCTGAATGACACATCGACAGAGTGTGCAAAAGTCTTGAGCCTCCTCCTAATTCTTTGAAAATGTTGCCAAAAATTGCCAAGAAAATGGGAAACAGGTGCAGCCATTAACTAGAACATGCACACAAACACAGTATATAAGACAAAAACAGAGCTTGTGTTCACAGTGTTTTTCCATCCAGGTATGCTTTTACTGCTTTGGCAGTGTGTTTGGGATCATTGTCACGCTGAAAAATGAAGCTCTTGCCAATCAGATGCATTCCAGATGGCATTGCATGGCAGAACAGAATCTGATGGCACTTTTCTGCGTTCATAATTCCATCAATTTTGACAAGCTCTTCAAAACCACTGGTTGAAATGCAGCCCCAAACCACAACAGAGCCTCCACTGTGTTTTACAGATTGCTGTAGACACTCACTGTTGTCTGTCTCTCTCCTGACCTCCTCTGTACTTATTAACGATGATCTGAACCAAAAGTTTCAAATTGGGATTCATCACTCCATCTAGATAGGAGGCCTGCCACTTCTTCTTATGTCATCCACTTGTCCAGTTTCCAAAAACGTTTAAGGACACCCTGCACACCCTGCAGAGGCATGCATAGTTTCTGACCAATGACTCTTTGGGAATCACTTGTTGGAACACAAATATGATTTTATGTCTGTCAAACTGTGTTATCTTTGGCATTTTTATTAGATTTAACTAAATAAATGGAAACAAATTATATTCTTTGTGACAGGCTGCTAGTAACAAATTGTGTAAAGATTTCAGATGGATTCTTTGCGAAGTTATCTGTCATGTATAAGTATAACAGTGGTTCATCCCTTGAGTTAAGTGCCTTTTTTATTTTTATTCTTCAGCGATCTATAGATCAGTGTTACGTGGCTTAACAAATAAACAAACATTACTTTGATAATGGTCAGGTTGAAGGATTGGATAATAGCGGCTACACTAAAAAATGTTTGTAGGTTTACGAGAATTTCATCTCTAAAAGGAAACTGGCAATACTTTTTAATTTTATTTGTTGCTTCCCTCATATTGAACAAATATGACAAATACTTGAATTTAGCTCTTGATAAGCTAGCAAACGAGCATTTTTCACTTAAGCAAAGGCAGCCTGTGATCTGCCTGAGATCGAAAATAAACGCTCTGCTGTCAGTCAGTCTCGCTTTCCACCATGTAAATAAAATACTACTTCAAGTTAAACATAAAACTGCTCTGAAATGTCACACTGTCATTTTTCAAGTTTTTTTATTTCCAACAAAACTACTATAATAATTACTGAGGTGGTGCCAGTCGGGCGGTTAGCTGTTTCCTCCTGTTTCCAGTTGAGCTAAGCTCACTAAGGAGCACAGTCCAAAAGGCCAAGTGCATTTCAATAAACAACAAGTAATGCTGTCTGGGAATTGGTAAGCAAGAAAATGTCATTTGGCCCAGGTGGATTCCTATCTGTCTGGCTTATGGCATTTGGGCTCCTCTGTGCAGAAACCAATTTCCAAATCTGATTTCTTTAGCAAATACCGAAGCTATAAAAGCAAAACACTTATATAGGAGTTCCAGCTATGAGTGGATATGGGCCTTACTTTTTTTGCCTTTTTCTCCTAATGTTCCCATCTCTCTGGTTTACACTGTGGAAGAAATGAACAGCAATAAAGGTAGCAGTTTCTTACAGAGCAAATTTGTAGCACCAAATAAATAATATCTTCACACAGATAGTGCAAGCATTCTAAAAACAGATATTTTCACTGTGGCCCCCTCGTCTCAAGCCTGCCTCAAAGCATCAGTCTAGTTTTCTATCAGGCCAGCTCCGGCTGTTTAACTGACATCCTAAAAAGACCCGCTTCAAATCATCGCACCCAGAGAGGAAGGCGGGGAGAGAGATCTGAAGAGAGCGCCAGAATAAAATGAGAGAAAACAGACAGAGGGGCCTAATGAAAAAGTAGAGAGGGAAAAATGGTGGAAGATTTCTATGCAGTGATGTCCTTGTGACACGGTAAATGATAGGGTGCATGAATTTTGCAAGCATCAGCAGCTTGCTCTGACAAGGGCATCTTAGCTCTTGTGTAATACTCCCAGGGTCTTTGAGGTGTGGCTTTCAGACATCTACAAGACCAAGTGATCACAGGGGGGTGGGGCAGTGAGGAGTAGCCTGCAGAGAATACACTAGCTCCCTGGGAAAAGGACATTAGAAGAGTGGTAAAGATGCAGAAGAAGCAGGGATGGAGGTTTCACTCAGCAGGCCAGCACAGGTACTGCAGTATCAGTAACAGTTGCCATAGTAATCATGCTGGGGGGATGGCTGCAGTGTGATCACTGTGAAAAATGAGTCAGTATTAGTGGCACAATGATGACATCTAGTGGTTGTCTGGGACTGTCAGGGCACTACGTTACCCGAAGTATAGGTGTTTGTCTTCAGGTTGTTTTTGTGTGAGCTGCAGTTTCGGAGATATTTGCTGCAGTTCACCGTCTTTTGATTATAACGGAGCAGAAATCATTCTTTCCATACATCTTTAACCCGTTGCTCAGAAGATACAAAGCTTGTACCACATTTCAGCAACCACATCTCTGTGCAATAGCCATGACAAGAGGGTCAGGCTGACACACTGTGACAGGAGGTGAAAACTCATGGTTTCCAGCTTGGGTAAACTATCATGTTAGCTTGCTGCAGTCTTCTTTTAGTTAGTGAGAGCCATTTGTACTCACCCAAAATATCTAAGGAAGGCTTCCAGCACCTTGTTGAATCATTGCCACAAAGAATTGAGGCAGCTCCAAAGAGATCCAACCCTGAACTAGCAAGGTGTACCTAATAAAATGACAAATGAGTCTATTTCCATTTTTTAAATCTCTACTAAATTTAATCTCTGCAGCTTCCCTTACTGCCTTGAGAGTGCAGCCCTGAAGTATGAAGTTTTTTGTATCTCAGTAAATAAATTTTTAGTCTTTTAGTTCATTTTTCCAAATATTGAGGCTACGTTTAGATCTGCCAGCCATCAGTGGGTCTAATCCACTAAGCAGCCTTGGCAGCTTTTCCACCAGAGAAAAGCTAAAGAAGTTTTACCAACTCTCAGAAAAACTTGATGGGCCTTGAAGCAACCTTAAGCTCTGGCGTACTCCCTCTCTCTCTCACACACACACAGGAAGAGAGAAAAGGGATAAAAATGTAGGCAGAGGGATTCATTCAGGGTTTTTGATCAAAGTGGGGATTCTGAACCCAGACACACCCTGACAATTTAAATTCAAGAATTGCGAGATAGCCCCAAACAGTCCACTGTTCAGCTGTACTAAACACATGACAGTGCACTGCTGATTTTAACCATCAGGCTGACTGATTTAATGTAATCTTCCATAAGCACATAACATGAAGTAAATGACAGGATAAAGATTGCAGACTTTCAAAACTGTAGCTGGACACCTTTGCTGGACATTTTTTTTCAGTAAATCACTATATTTAGTTTGTCAGTGGTGCTTCAACAAACAAGCAAAGACTTTTATTTACTTTTACAAACCCATAGTTCTAGTTTTGCTAGACATAATGGTCAAATCAAAAAAGTTTATCATAATGAATAAATCATCATCATTTGCAGCTAATAAACTTAAAAATAAAAAGCCACTGGTATTTCTTTTAAAATATTCTGTATCACTTCATCAGAGTTTACATACAGACGTTTTCATTGCTGTGACAAACTAAGTCTGCTTCATGATTCAGTAGCTCGTAGAACCGCCTTTATCAGCAACAATTTGAAGTAACTGTTGTCTGTATGAGTTTATCGATCACAATCACATCATTGTGGAGGAATTTTGGCACATTCTTCCTTAAGTGCTGCTTCTCTTCGTTGACGTTTCTTGGCCTTCATTTATGCACAGCTCTCTAAGGTCAGCACTTTAACTGCAAGGTGTCCAGCTTCTGTGGCTGCAAAACAAACTAGTGCTGTGCAATACTGCAGATGTTGCTATGATCTGATATGAGGTAACTACAGGGCCAGTAATGCAGATACCGATACTGATACCGAACTTATAGAAGGCAGCTTGTGTAGGGGAGTGTCGTGATTTTTAAGATGAATTATCATCAATTTGCAAATTCTGAACACATTTTAATGAACAATGAATCACTGTGATTTTACTTTCCATGATAATTAGTTAATACAGCAAACGAACCATTCAACTTTTCTTGAATGATGAAACTTGGGTCAACTTCTGTTGTTTAAATCTCAATTATCACATAAAGCTTCAGACATTTTTCACAGTGCAATGAACTTAGGGGATAGAAACAAAGTACCAATACCATCATGCTAGTCTCGATCCAGTACCAGTGTTGATGTCAATACTATCGATATTTAGATTGATCTGCCCAGCTCTAAAACAAACCCAAATCATCAGCCTCCACCACCGTGACTGACAGTTTGTATGGGGTGTTTGAGCTGATGTTCTGTGTTTGGGGTTCACCATCATGTTTGCTGTGCATTATGGACAAACATCTCCACTTTGGTCTTGTTTGCTTCAGAAGTCGTGCTGTTTATTCAGATGCTTTCTGCTTGCATCCCTTCCAAACAACCTAAACTTGCTCAGTCTTTTTTCTAATCGTACTCTCATGAACTTTAACATTTAACATCCTAACTGAGGCCTGTAGACTCTCAGATTAAGCTTTTGAGTTTTCTGCATTTTCTGTTACATTTTCAAAATGTAAACTTATATCATATTTAAAGATGAAATAAAATAAGGTTTTCTCATCAAATAAAAACCACGTGTTGTGGCAGAGCTAATATAAGACTGGAAACTGACTGTATGTAGTGATAAAAATAAAAACAATGGAAGTTCATTCTTACAATAGCGTCATTTTGATTCTGAATAAATACTGACTTGCTCTTCTTCAGGCAAGCAGTGCCATAACGTTCGATCAGCTTCCATCTGTTTGCAATTCACCTCCACATCTGTTAAGATAAAAAGGCTTCGGAAAATCAAACAACAGTGTGGAACTTCCTATAAAGCAACGATTTCATGCATGTACTGAATTATATCAATAGTGGCTGTGTAGTGTGATCCTTCTGTTTTTACATCATTAAAAAAGACAAACAAAAAAACAAAAACCACAGACTTCAGACCACCAGGCCCTTCTTTGATCTTTCTCTCCGTTTCTTAACAGTCTTCTGGCTGCTGCACCTCTTCTTCTTTGCTTCTACTTCTGGGTCAAAATCAGAGTCACTGTCACCGTTTGGTCGCCTTCCCAATGTCTCCTCCTCCTCCTCTTCTTCTTCTTCCTCCTCTTCTGTCGAGTCAAAGGATAAATCACTACCAGACTGCTTGTCCTCGCTCCCCTCATCACCGGAGCCTGTTTTCTTTAACTTCTGCACCTTTGATTTTGGCGTTTTTGCCTTTGAACGCAGGCCTTTAATTTCCCCCGCTGCTCTTCTCCTCGGCCTTCCTCTGGGCCTGTCTGTGCTTCTCCTTTTACTTTTCGGCTTCATTGATCTCTCCCTCTGAACCTTCTGTTTTACTTTCACACTGTCAAACTCAGAGTTCACGTCTCTCTTTTTCTTGTTCCTCTTAGCATCATTTGCCCTTTTATCCATCTGCTGAAGTCCAGAGCTGGACGTGTGGTAACGCTGGACGTGACTTTTCAAGCTCACGTTGTGGTTGAAGCACATGTCACAGAGCTGACACTTGTACGGCCGCTCCCCGGTGTGCAGACGCATGTGGGACTTCAGGTGGCTCGTCTGGTTGAAGCCACGCTGGCACACCGAACACTTGTACGGTTTCAGTCCTGTGTGCACAACGGAGTGCCTCCTGAGATGATGTATGTCCTTGAATTCAATCCCACAGACTCCACATTTGAACTCCCTCGAGACTCTGTGCTTTGCCAGGTGGCTCCGGCGTTCTTTACTGGTGGCGAATGTCTTTGGACAGTCGGGACATTTAAAGGGATCTTTTTTATCCTGGTGGGTCAGCTCGTGCCTAAATTTGTCCGCCCTGGTTTTGAAGGTGACATAGCAATACTTGCAAGGATGCTCGTACGTTTCGTCGTGGATTTCGCTATGATTTCTTAGAGCAATCTCAGAAACGCACCTTTTCCCGCAGATATTGCAGGAGTAGGGTTTTATTTTGTGCTCACATGTGTGAGGCTTCAGGATGAGGAAAAAACGTCCGCACTCTGTGCACAGCTCATTAATTTCGAGGCCACCCGGGGATTCAAAATCTTCCTCTTCGCCTTCATCCTCGGTTTCCTCCTCAGACTCCTTTGTGAGCTCGTCAGCCACCAAAAGTTCCTCCGTGGGATTCCAGTCCCCATCTGAACTCATCCCACCTCTATTGCCTTCCTCTTCGTCGTCTGAAGGATCGCTTTTTTCATCGCTAAAAGTGACGGCCTCAGACAAAGCCGCAGCGCCGGCGTTGTCGTCTCTTAGCGCTGACTGTGAATGACAAGAATGGCAACGTAGCATTTGGGAAACTTTTTCAAGCCTGTACAGCAAAGAGTTTTCATGAAAAATGACTAAGACAGAGGTGCAAGCAAAGGACAAAGTATCACTTCTATAAGTGCTTTTTTTAAAACTGCAATTCAGCAAAAGCGCGGGCAAAGACACAAAAAGCAGAAAACAGATACTTTTTTGTTCCAAATGGAATAATAGAGACGCAGAATTTGCATCTTTCTGAGAGAATTATTACTTCTGAGAGCCAAACAAATTAAACGCATGTATGACTCTCAAACCAAAAAAAAGTAGTTTGATTAAATTGTGATGTGATGTGAGATCTTAAGAGTTGCTATTTGCACCATCACTTCTGAAGAAACTCCCAGAAACTAAGTGGGAAGCTCCTATCATGACTATGTGAAGCTGGCTCCAAAAAAGTGAGTCAATCCCTGTCATGTCTTAAGTTAAAATACCCGGCTTTAGAGAATTCAAAATAATTTTACAGACTGCTACCAAAACGGTTTTGATCTCTATGGATAGTTTTCTCGTTTACAACATCTGTAAGTGGGAGAATTTTTTATAACTAATCCGTGTGAATAGTAAGGGTTAGGGGCGTGGCCACTTTGATTGAGTGTGCTGACACAGGCAGCTGTAAACCCGTTGGTGTCTGCAGCGGCGTCACCTGGAGTCACTGTGTTTGTGGTCTGTGTGTGTTCCTTTTGGGGCGCCTGCTATATCCTGCTGTATAGTATAACCCATTCAAGAAGTCTGTACTTCAGAGTGAAACACAACTATTGTTTTTGGTTACATTATAATTCAAAATTGTGTCCATTTTGAAAGACAGGTAGGCTGCTCTAGTCAGCTGTTTGAATACACTTTTTTTGAAAGACTGCTTTCTGCTAGCTAAAATAAGCATCTCAATTCATATCATTAAGAATTACCAATGCAATCCAAACCATAATGCGTGACTTTACGGCGGATACAGCTATCTTTTAGTCTATGATATTTAATGAAATATGTCATATTAAACTTTTTATGAGTCAAGTCCAGTTAGGAATCATAAAATAAACACATTGCAAACTTCTCTGATGACCAAGTTTTCTTTAGTAGACAGTAAATCAGGTTAAACCTACCAGCTGGGTCTCTGGGGTTCCCTCTGTGCCTCTTGTCGGGCGTCCATCTTCAGCGGCAGGGAGAGGGGCACTGACCTGACCATTCCGCTTGTTTTTGTAGTCGCACTTATGGCATCGTTGTTTCAAGATGATGAGCTCCCCATAGGTTACTTTCACTGCCTGGAGTTTGTCTCCACATGTTGGGCACTTTTGGCCAAACACCTTCAGGAGGCAATTTTCATTCACCATGTATTTGTCGTTCTGAAGTGCAGGCCTGAAACACAAGAGTACAAACAGTCAGACGCGTCATGATGTCACATCTTCAAACATGCTCAGAAATGTGGAACTTACAATTCCTGGTTCGAATCTGTGTCTGGAGTTTCAGGAGTGAGAGCATCTGAAACATTGTGGGACACAGGCTTGAATACAACACTTTGTCACACTTTAGATTTTTAATGGTGTGATATGGACACTTTCTTACCTCTCAAGGGGCATTCTGTTATTTCAGGGGAACAAGTAGAGCTCTTACATAATTCTAGGTCATCACACTGACTATCTGCATCTGTGGTGGTAACAGGTTCCTACACAAAAATCACAAAACACCACAAAAGCTTTCAGTCAAACAAAGCCACAAACAGTTAACAAGCATGCGTTTTTTGTCTATACCCATCAATGTATGGATAAAGGCATCCCTTAGGTTGGCTTAAGGGAAAAACTACTCATTTGCCTTCACGCTCTCTGGGCTGCAGTTCCTGGTCAACTCAGGGACTGTAAGGGGGCCTGGTCTTGTAGCTGCAAAACAAGCCCAAATCATCGCCCCTATACTGCCGTGCTTGACAGTTGGAGCTGTTTGTGCTGATGTTTTGTGTGTGGTTTTTGCCAAACACGGTTTTGCCAGCCTAAGCCATGCTGTCATTTTCTTTTTAGAGAGAAGAGCTTCTCTTCTGGCGACCTTCCCAAACAAGCCACACCCATTCGGTCTTTTTCTAATTGTACTGTCGTAAACGTTAACAATTAACATGATGATTGAGACTTGTAGAGTCTGATCTGCAGTTCTTGGGATGGTTGCAGTTTATGAACATTGCATTGTCTGACATACGGTTGAATTTGCTGGGACGTCCACTCCTGGGGAGATTTGCAACTGTCTTGAATGTTTTCCACTTATCTCACTCTAGAATGAAGGACTTTAGATTGTTTGGAAAGCAGCTGAATATCGCTGTTTCACAGGCCAGAAAAACAAGTGGTCCAGGATTACTGACCTTAATTGAATAACTTTTACAGCTATAAGAAATACATTTACATGGAATGATCATACTTGCATTCAGTCTCACAGAAGCATTATCTTGCTTTAATATGTCACTTTATAAACTTCATACGTGAATGATGAAAGCAACGACTGTGTCATTTTAATCAAGTTCTATCTTTATAATTTATCTGATTATAAATGACTTCTGTTGAAAACTGAATTAAAATAACTGTGTATTGTATGACAGTTGGTCTATGACTGCCGTCCAGCCAGCCTCAACCTTGGTTTGGGTTTGTGTGTATACTAGATATTACGGAAAGGGAAACTGAGAACGGATTTCAAAGTAAAATTGCTCTTCAAGTGACTCATTTCAACAACCAAAAAAATTTAGCCCGTCATTGATGAAATAGCAATAATAAAACACAAAACAAAAATTTATGTGGAAAAAAAAATCAAATTGCAGATAACAGAAATATTGAAATATGATAAACTTGTCTTAAAATAGCCACGCTTAGAATTGCAATTCAAACACCGTGTAAAGCCATTAAAAATAGTTTATGTCACTTAATATACTTTAGATCAACAGTATTCATATACGCAATTTCGGATAGCTTTTGATGTTGTTGATCTTTAGTAAAATTAGTCTGTGGAAGCAAATCTTTCCTTCTAATAGATGGATAGTGGAAAAAGTAAAGTCTCTTTACTTTGAAATACAAAATCAAACTAACTTATTGATTGATATTGACTGAGTAACTCGATAAGGGTGTGTACTGTGGATCTAAAATAAAATTAGTCTGTGGAAACAGGACGTTCACCTGTAATGACTGTTCACGACTTAAAATCTTAATTAAAAAAATAAATCAGCTTTCATTATTTATGTTTAATTTTGAAATGAATTCATTTTCTATAGTATTTTGGCATTTATGCCAGACTAAACGTGTGGTGTGGGCTAACATAGAAATCACATTCATTTGAAAGTCGCTTTTATTTTGTAAACACGTCTCAGTTTCTCTTTCCGTAATACACAGTATATAGGTATAACGCATTCAACGTGGAGGCTGGCTTGGGAGCAGTTTTTTAAAGATCCGGTGAAGTCCAGCAACAGGTGATCCCTCAGCTGACTCACCTCATCCTGTGGGCTCTCCACGGGTTCCTCTGGCTCTGTGTTGACCCACAGTGAGGGGACAGCACCGGGCTTCAGCTGCACCGAGCCACTCAGAGCCAAGCTCACGAAGCAGTCATCTGTGAAGTGTTCACTGCAAATAGTGATATCAGTCCAGGACGATTCTTTTAGTCGCTGCTTGTTGACTTCGAACAGAAACAGGACCCACTCCAGTCTCCTCTCCGGGTCCTCTGGTAGCCTGAACCGCTGCACATTGTGTCGCCACGAATCACAACCAACGACGGAGCACATGCTGGGCTACGGATGTGACCCTCCAGTTGTAGAAGTGGTCGGGCAGCGTTACGTTTTAACGCTCGCTTGCTGTAGCTGCCACATTTTAACATAAACAACAATGGCAGGCTAATGGCTAAGTAAGCGAATGTTGTGCTAACAGAACTGGCGTGGCTCTCTGGCTGGGTTCGCTTGGTTTGGCGACCAGCGTATCCCGGCTTAACAAGTAGATGACGCTGGCATTTCTCGTCACTTAGGTAGAAAACTTGCACAGCTCCACAAATTAAAAATGAAAAAGACTAAAACCAACACTGAAACTATTAAAAAAAACTAAAGTAAAACTAGACATTTTCAAACAATCAAAGCTATATTAAAATCAAGAAATGAATTTTTTTAAAGTAATCAGAAAACAGAAAACTATACTATAATAACTGGTATTTAAAAAGTAATCAGAAAATAGAAAACTATAATAACTGGTATGGTGGCCTTTAACACAGTTGTTACACAGCATTTCTAATCTGGGTGTTAAAACACTGGATATTTCCAGTGTAAAAGCACATGTGGAAAACAGTCTGGTCCTGTGTGCTACTGTTACATGCCCCAGGAGGATAGCTTTTTCTTTGTGAAATAATGCCTTCTCTGTCCTGATTGGGTGCTGCTGCTTGAATCAAGTCAATCAGCAATCAGCAGATCCCTATATAACGTTTGTGAAGCTGTGTTTCTGGGCCTTCTGGCCTTTTTCACTGCCATACATGTGCAGGCTCACATGCCTTTGATTTGTATTTTTAGCCTTATGTGACTTTGTTCAGACTGCCTGTAGGGGAGAGTTGCTTTTGTAATGTAATCCCTTGTTTTCTACTGTTTATGTGCTGGTTAGGTTGGCTATCTTTGTGTATTTTGTTTTCTTTGGCATTGGGCAAGTTCCTTTTATTTTCTGTTAGGGATGTTTTGTTTGTTATGTTGGCGTTAGCTCTCCCTTGAGTTAAATGTCAGTCTGAACCAAAGTTTTAAACTAGCAGAAAATAAACCTTTAAAAAATGCCATCTTGACTCCTCTTTCACTATTTTAACTTTATGTTATTCCCTCCTATCCCTTCGGCTAGCCAGGGGATGTAAAAGACACATTAAGCTGTTTCTGAATAAATCATTAGCTCAGTATTTTTAGTTCATTGTTTCAAATATCCTGATTTGTTATTGGTCTTACTACTGTTTTTAACTATTGGACTTTTTCCTTTTTTTTTCAGCTGGGTCAAAGTCGCAGTCAAATTTTTCTTCTCCCACTAGATCTCCTTTTGCTTCATGTCTTCCTCCTCCTTCTCCTGCTCCTCCTCGTCCACAGTCACTCTGTCCCATTAGCCAGAGCACCACCAGCGCTGCCGTTTTTCTGTCCAGGACTTGCCGTGTGATAACAGGGGATGTGATTCTCCAAGATCACATTGTGATTGAAGGATTGATCACAGAGCTGACACTTGTAAGGCCACTGCCGTGTGTTCAGGCGGATGTGGGATTTCGGGGGGTTGGCTGAAGCCCTGCTGGCTTTGGACTGTAGGAGAGAGCTGGAGGATCTTGAGGAAGCCCATGCAAGCACAGGAAAAATGTGCAAACCCCACACAGAAAGGCTCCAGGCAAATGTGAGGCTCAAGCCAGCATCCAGGATTATTACAGTTAACTAAAACTAGATGTGTTAACTTAAGAAGTCAGAAATTAATCAAGTGTAACATTAACTGTATGCAGTTTTGTGGCCTGACTTTCCCACCTGGGAGGTGTAGTCGCATTAAGGACATCACTGCTTTAAGACGAAGAGCGCTCCATGGGTGACCTTATCCCTTTAACTTTACATTTACTGAACAGCTGGAGGCGTTTTCATTCACAATAAACTTCCCCCTCATCTTTATACATGCTAATCTTAAAAGAAAATATTGAAGCCAACTGGGAAGCGCATTAAACCTGCATTCTATCTCAAGGCCACCAGATGGCGATACTTGAGGCCGCAAAAAGACGTGTGACCGCTAATCATGTTACACACAAATGAATAAGGCACTCAACACACAGACCTGCAGACTGGTCAGTGTTCCCATGCTAACTCTTTCTAAAGAAAAAAGGTGCATTTCCCAACTGGTAGTACACCTCTGTGTCATTGCTTTGTAACTAGCATAGTTTGTATGAAACCGACTGACTTTTCTACAAATACTGGCCAGCTGTCTTTGAGCTGCAGTGAATCAGTCAAAAGTGTGACACAAATCAGTAATGAGATGGTTTGCCTTTAAAGAAGTTGCTCCTTTCGAAACATGTCAGCTGCAGCTCTGAGGCAAAACTTTTACTATGAGGATGAACCGTCTCTATTTCTGGTTTATGTCATACTTTCTCAATTTTACTACTGCTGGTTGAGTACTTGCAGACGAACGTGAGAAACTACAGCCTATCTACTAGCAGCTAAAGCAGTCACTAAGTTCTTAGTGTAGCAGCTTCTTTGCAACCATTTTCACCCAGTGACAGCTAATAACCTCCAGGTACCACTGGCAATCATTTGGGGAACACACACTTTTCCAGTCTCCTCACTCTTCTCCAGAGTCGACTGGTCACACAACTGATCACAGAGCACATTTTCAGTTTCTTAAACCTCTTGCACACTTTTATAAAACCTTAATAACACCAAAACGTCAACTGGTTTTGCAGTTTTTACACCTCAGCAGTGATAAACTGCCGTGCCTGTTGCCGTAGCAGCGAGAGCTTGTGGGCGGGGTTTTAATGGTGGGTTCGAGTGATTTGTTGTCTGGAGTACACCGGCCAGTACATGGATCAATTAATGATTTTATAGAATTGTTTTGATTTATATATATAAGCAGATTTTTACAGTCATTGGTCTCAATGAGCACTCACTAGACACTTCATTTGGTACACCTTGCTAATAGTCATGGCATAGATTCAACAAGGTGGTGGAAATCACCTCAGAGATTTTGGTCCATATTAACATGATAGCATCACACAGTTGATGCAGATTTTTTGGCCATGTCTACATGCATAAATCCACTGAGCTGCTGCCATGTGTTGGGCTGATTAGTTTATTATTATTATAGATTATTTTGATTAATGAGCAGGTGAACTTCTATACTTCTAAACCTAGTAAGGTGCGTGTAAAGCGAGTGAGTGTATGAAGCAGATAGTACTACCACAGTTAATGGTATTACCTTAAAAGGAAAATAACAAATATAGGTTCTGTGACAAACAGAATAAAATATGCACCTCATTTGTAATTAAAGTAAAAGCACGCACATTCCGCAGACGGCAGAGCTCACAGAATGGCTCCAATTTAGATTGGCAAGGATTATTTTTGAGTCTGAAAAAAAAAGAGTTCAGTCCTTTAGAAAAAAAAAATGCAGTAGATTTGCAGGTTTGTAAAAACACCATTAGGTGGTGCTGTTCAGCTTTTGCCTCTACCTCAACACACTGTAAAACTAGGATGTCACGGCCACTGCAGAGTAGGTGTGATATCATGACATAACTGAAGCTTTACATTTCAAAAGACTAATGCAAGAACTACCACAAACCAGGGGGCAACTCCTTATCCAACAATGAGTGGCTGCATTGCTGTTTAAGCTGCTCTTTGAACTTCAGAAGTTCCTATGTGCCTCAAAGGACATCTTGGATGGACAGAAGAAGAGAAACCACTGGCCAGTTTGTGTGCAACCATCACTGTGCATTTTCTGTGTTAAGACATCCTGTTCTCCATGTAAAGAAACAGATAATTTACAATAGATGGCACAAATCAGCATATAAATAATCCTCAGAAATCTGTATTTTATTTGCCTTTTTATTGCCCAAAGAAATATTTGATTATGTATAAATATCCTATTCAGACACTTGAAATTCCATAGTTGGGGTCTACATTAAGCTGAGGGACTTTTTCAACTGCAGAAAGATCCTTTCTAGTCACCAGCTTTAGTAAATAAGCTGACCTCCTGACCAAGTGATTATCTAAATTATAGCAGCTAATGGTGATTAGTCCACCACATGGACATGTGGCTGAAATACAGACGCAGGGTCACTTAAGTGGCCCCTGAACAAACAGGAAAGACACTCACAACTGCCGCTTTGTGCAGCAGGTGGTTGCTCTCCTGTGTCCCCTGTAGACATGACATGTAGACATGACACAAGTATTCCCAATATCCAAACATTTTTAAGGCATGAGAGAGTAAAAAAAAAGATATAATGGGGATTGGTGGATTTATTCTCCCACTGGGTGTAAGGCCCCCAGCTTCCTGGGTAATTGAAAAATGATTTCACGTGTCAGCTAATGAGTGCAGCATATCTATGCCCCGAGGAGGCCGGTCAATCAATCTCTCATCAGGCTGCCTCAACAGTAATTTGTGTTTGTTGGTGTGTTTGCACATGCCTTTGATGTGCGTATAGGAGATGTTGTTTTTGTGTTGTGTATTAATGTGCTAGATTAGAGCCATTAATTATGAATCAAGGACAGTCTGGTTTCCTCCTCTTCCCTGACTCATTTTGATATCCATTTTCAGCTGCAGGATATTTGCTGAGTGTGTTGAAACTTCAAAAGCCAGCTCTTGCTTGGAATGTGCCATTAAACTGTAAACATCAGGACAGGGCAATAAACCTACTAGCGTGCACGCACACACCTCCACAGTTTTCACAACTACAGACCCACTCTTTTCATGCCAACTGAGGTTCAATGTGAAGTTTCCATGTGACCGTGCCAAAGAAAAGAGGCAATAATGATCCAAAAAGTGTAGAAAATGTAATTTTCTTGGGTGCTTGAGCACAAAGGAATTTCACCCTTGACTCTCATTTACATTCTGTCCTCCTCCATCATACCAGTTCTGGGAAAAACAGAGCAAGCCACGGTCGAAACATGTCAGCTGCCTTTCACATTTACGGAGGAATGTTGGCCGCGCTTCACAATGTTGTCAGTCAGTACGCCAGATAAGAGCTCTCAGTTCATAAATAAGATTGATGGCACCGCATACCACCAGTTCCTGCTCTGTGTTTTCCCATACAAGCATCTCTGTCAAAAGCATCTGTGCTATCTCACCAGCTCATATCCTCTCCGTCCAAGTCCAGGCTTGCTTAGGTGTTTTTACATGTTCCTCATCCACTCATTAAACCCACTACTGCAGGATATGCCCTGACTTCAGCTGCTCAGCTGCGTTCGAGTTTAATACTAGTTTGTTTGGGGGTATTGGTTAGGATATAGTTATATAAGATTGTATTTTAGCTACACATATTTGACATGCACTCTTAAATTCCAAAGTCTTACATTTCCTCATAGTTC